ACCCCTCAAGGCAGTGATCTTACAACCCATTCTTCCTGGTATCCAAACTCTTATGAAGACAGATGGGGAATAGGAAGGCTCTCTTCTGGCTAGGATGAGGCATATAGATGATAGAAAAGAAATCCAGGTCAGGTCATGATCTCATAGTTTGTGACTTGAAGCCCCACAGCATAGAGCCTGCTTCAGATCCTCTGGCCCCCTCTCACTGCCCCTCCTCTGCTCGTGCTTTCTCTCTCAAAAATAAACAAACATTTAAAAGAAGAAGGAGGAGGAGGAGAAGAAAAGAAAACCAGAGAGAGGCTGGTGAAGGGAGACAGGAATTGCTACTTATTGACTTAGTTGTGGGTTCTGCAGTAGAGCCCCTTTGGGTTTTAAGAGCCTTTTTCTGCCTCCTTTCTTCTTCCTGCAACTTCTCCTGCTGTCTAAGCTGCCATGACCGTAATCCAGCATCCATTTTCTGTGATAGCAGTGCAACTCATCTTGCAAACATCTCCCTTTGGGCTTTTCTTCGAAGCTGGCCTTTCATTGGAGGTACAGGGCGGCCATCTGTGTAAGATCAGTCTGGGAACTCTGTAAAGGGTCTGTAGCCAGAGGGGTTGGTAGCCAGGCCCTGCCTGGGTGGAGAAAAACAGTTCCATGAGGATTCAACCGAGCTTCTGGTTCCCCAGTTCCCCCCAGACCAGCACTCACTGGAGTCACATTGGCCACCCACCTAACCCACCACACTGCTGTGCAGCCTCCACACACCTAAAGCAGCCATGCTGAGGCAAGAGAGCTAGAAGCGGGTGTCAGTCCATTTATGTTTAAAGTGGTTATAGATGGTATATACTCATTGTCATTTTGTTAACTGTATTCTGGTTGTTTTGTAGTTCTTCTCTGCTCCTTTTTCCTCTTGCTCTCTTCCCTTGTAGTTTGATGCCTTCCTTTAGTGTTTAGATTCCATTCTCATGATCTTTTGTATATCTATCATAGGTTTTTGCTTTGTGTTTTCCTGAGGCTTACATATATTAGCTTATGCACATCCCAGTTTATTTTAAGTTGATAGCAAGTTACGTTTGAATGCATTCTAAAACTGTATTTTCCCCTTCCCACAGTTTATGTTTTTGATGCCACATTTTACATCTTTTATTTTTGTATATCCTTTAACTAATTGTTGTAGTTATACTTATTTTTACTACTTTTGCCTTTTAACCTTCATACTAAAATAAGTGATTAGTCCACTACCCCTAATATATACTTACCTTTACCGGAAAGACTTTTACTTTCATACGTTTTCTTGTTACCAGTTGGCCTTTCTTTTTGGCTTAAAGAAGTCCCTTTAACGTGTCTTATAAGCCCAGTTTAGTAGTGATGAACTTGTCCAGTTTTTGCTTGTCTGGAAAACTTTTTCTCTCCTTCAACTCTGAAGGATAATCTTGTCAAGTAGAGTATTCTTGGTTGGAAGTTTTTTGCTTTCAGCACTCCCTTCTGGCCTGCAAAGTTTCTGCTGAAAAACTTGATTAAAGTCTGGGGGCCAGGGGGCCCCTTTTACATAACAAGTTGTTTTTCTCCTGCTGCTTTTAAGATTCTCTCTTTAACCTTTGACATAATTATAACGTGTCTTGGTGTGACTCTCTTTGAGTTCATCCCATTCAGAACTCTCTGGGCTTCCTAGATCTGAATGTCTGTTTCTTTCCCCAGATAAGTGAAGCTTTCAGCCATAATTTCTTCAGATAGGTTTTCTATCCCTTTCTCCCTTATCTTCTCCTAACAGGACATCTATTATGTGAACATTGTTCCACTTGATGTTGTCCCATAGGCCCCTCAAATTATCTTTTTTTTTTT